TCACTGCTACATCTCTAACATCTCATTTAATTCTCCCAGCCTTTGCAGTGATGGAGTTGCTGCAGGATATTGTAACCAGGGCTGTCCTGTGTCTGGTTCAGGTGGTGAGGATTTGCAGATACTAGAGCAAGCACTACATCGTGTTTCCAAGGCTGTCAGTGGTGTTACTGGTGCGTTTGTGTGTTCAACAGAAGGGCTGTGGTTAAACTGCCACCAAGAGCAACCCTTGTGGGCAGAGCACCCTGCAGCATCCCCATAGCCAGTGATCACTTGGCAGCCAGCTGAGGGTGGGATGTCCTGAAGCAGCTGGGTTGGGAAACAGAGGATTCCCTCCTAAGAAATTACCAAGGAAAATCAGCATCTGCTCTAAATTGCAGCTCTATGGGAGCCAGCTGTCTTGGCCATTGTACCTACAGAGGGGAAGGTCTGGAGGAAAGGCAGTGTGTGCTAGAAGAACGTGGGGAAACATGAGCTGAAATTGGGAAGTAACTGGAAAAAGTTGATTCTCATTTACTAAAGGACAGGGAATAGGTGGGGGTTGTCCCAGTGCAACTGCTACCAGCCCTGCCTGTGGAGGGGAAATGAGTCAGGCACCTGTCTGTAGGGAGTCCTGATCAGAGAGCCTCTCTCAGCTGGTGGAGAACACCCCCCACAGCAAGGTGGCCCAGCAGCACTCAGAGTAGGCTGAATCCTTCTTTGCTGCCCACCATTGGATTTTAGTTTGTCTCCCTGGCACTGTATCACATTCAGGCTTTTCCTGCCTTTTCAAAAGGCAGGTGTACGGTCTGGAGCTGTGGGTGTTTGCCACCCTTTCACACTTATGCTCTGGTTCTCGTTGCCACTTTTCCACCTTGTGCCTGCCAAGGGTTGGCTTTCCATTTCCAAACCTGCTGGTCCTGTCTGCTGCCTCTGCCCCTGTCAGCCCTGCGCATTTGCTTGCTAGGGTGATTGGCCCCTGGACTTCCAAGGTGTCCATCACACTGGAGAGCTTGCAAGATTTTTTTTGGAGGCAGGAATTTTGCCGTTTCTGCTTATGGAAGGTTCTAGAGAGTCTCACAGGCTGTATGTGTTCACACCCCTGTGTAGTAAGGGGAGACGTGTAACCTGGCTGAAGCCTGTGTTTTATTAAGGAGACCTGGCCCCACAGAAAAGTTGTAACGGTTTAAGATTTTTATCAAAGGCAGTTTAGTTAAATCACATTGAGCCCCTACAGGAATGCTTTTATTTGAGATGACCAGTGATTTGCTGCGAGTCAGTTTAAATCCAGTCTCAGTTCGTCTTAAGACAGGTGGCTGTTCTTAATGGGAAAAAGCCTGCAAGCGTCGCACCAACTTATTGAAGGTGGTAGAGGCAACCCCTTGCTTCTGCGTTGGAAGCCAAAGTGCCAGCAAGGAAAGCCACAGCTAGGCACGAAAAAACTATGGTCTGCAGCTTGAGTTCTTTACCGAACTGCTACTAACAAGCACTAAGGCTAGTGTCCTTAACCTAGGCTGAAGTTTCCTCTCTCCGGAGGATGCGAACAGGGTGCAGGCTGGGGGTTCGCCGCGCAGCTCTGCTGACCAGCGACCCACCGCTGCCCCCTGGTGTCCCTGTCCCGCGCTGCCCGCAGGCACCGGGCTCCTGATAAACGCCTCACAAAACCACCGCCTTTTCATCCGGCTTGCTCTGCAAAGCAAAGAGCACAGCAAGCTATCCGCACTGACTAACCCAGCAAGAAATAGCCTTTTGCTTTTAAAGCTAGAGGTTAAGTAGAGGGCAGGGGTTTTTGCTGTATCCGCTCTGCCTGTCTGCATCTCAGACGTGCCTTGTGACACTCCCAGCTTAACGATTAATGCCTTTCCTCCCGATTTCTCCTTTCCTGTACATATACACCTGCACACACCCCAACAATTCCAGCGTGGCTGAGAAGTCCCTGACCAGGGTCATGTCATCCCTTCAGGAGACCTTTGGGGTCCAGTTCCCACCTGAGACCTCAGCATGGTTATACAATTTAATGAGTGAACAGAAGCACCTGACTAGCACAATGGGGAGGCGGGGGGAGGGGAGCAGGGGGTGCAAACCAATGTGGTAGCTGGGATTCCGCTTTGCAGAGGTCAGGATGATGAATGGTCTCATGCTGCCAAGGACATGGGACACAAGTAACTGGGGAAAGTGGCTGGCTTGCAGTGAAGAGGCTGATGATCAGTGTGAGTCTCTAGTATTGAAAGAAAGAATCTGCAGTTAGCATGAGAGTAACAATAAGGATATCAATTACTGCACTTTAAAATCTCTAGACCGAAAGGGCTATATTCAAAGAATTATCACATTATTTTTCTGTGATTTACTGGTTTACTAAGGCTATTAAATGCACTTTCACTGATTAGAAACCCTGCCTTCTGATGCTTGCTGTAAGAAGGTGATACTTTTGCTATTGAGCTTTGAAATGGAGGGGAGTTAGCCATGTCCAGTGTCTGCACAAAAACGGGGAGGGGAGTAACAGTCGTTCTTCTTTCTCTGGAGGACACAACCTACCAAACCACAACAAAAAAGGCGCGAGTAGAATTCCAAACCTGGTCACCATACTAATTAAGAAAAAAAAAAAAAAGTATAGGAATAACTAAAAAGAGAACAAACTCTCCAAGCAGACCAGAACTTGATTGGATTAAAAAAAGTGTATTGGATATCCAATACAAAATAATAAACATGAAGTTATTAAAAAAAGCCATAGAGTATACAGCAAATACTACAGAAAAGCAAAAAAATTGTACAGAAAGGTAGACGTCTACAGCAGTCCTCAAAATTATTCTACATGAGAATCAAAACAATATACAGGTTTGGTTTTTTTCCCCAAATGCCTCTGAGGGAAGCTGTCACTTAACAGCTTGACTATGACACTACAAGGATACACAATGTTCCAAATTTAAAATCACAGGATATGTAACAAAACGTAGCATTAAAATGTGAAAAAGTGCAATACAGATTGTACACTGAATTGAATAAATGTTTTTTTTAGTTTAACCTTAAAAAACCAACTTTGAACAGTTGTTTTATCATTAAAAATATTCCCCCTCCCCAAATTCAATGACAATATTAATATTCATGGTGTTATACATAAGTAATATTCACAAAGACCCACCAGCTAAGAATACTGTGTATGTACGATGATATTTCTTTGGGTATAGGTAAAAAATAGGCAAAGGAAAACATACACCCCTTCCTCTCAGGACAGGGTGCGTATTTTATTATTTTAATACATATTCTGTATCTTATTTTGCCCTGAATTGTATTGATTAGAAGTCCAAACATCAATTATCCAGGTGGCCCATGGTGCTCCAATTCATTTGATGTCCCCCCCACCCCCCACTCGCCCCCAATAAATAAACCCAGCAAATGTCCTAGAAATGACAACACAAGAGTCCAGGACAAGAAAGGAAGTAAAACTACAACCCAAACCCCTGCTGCTCTCCAGGATGATTCATTGGCTCTCCCTTCTCTTAGTGACAGGGACTATGAAAATGGGCCCAGAAATTTAGCTTTAGTCAAATGGATAAAAGAAAATAAATGAAGCAAAGTTCTTGGTTTTTTTTAAAATTTGAATTTAAGCAGTATTAAGTATTTCCTGTTAATGTTCCAACAGGTGCAGCCAGGTAGCAGAGGCACTGTGGACTACAGCAGCAGTGCCCTGCACCTGAAATGCCAGTTACCTGTGCCTCCTCCATCGTTATCACTAAGCTTCTGAGATCAGAAATCCAATTGCTCAGGAGGAACAGATTCTCCACCTGAATCATCAGGAAGTTTTGAGTTTCCTTTAGTCTTAAAAGTGAAACTGCACATGAGTTTGTTAGGCAGCTGGGCATTGTTTTTTTTCTTTTTTTACTAAAATACAGTCCCTCTTTTTATGCCATTTGTCCTCAGAGTATGGCAGAGCCAGGCAATCATACAAGGAGAAAACAAAAAACCTTTTTCTTCCCCTCATATAGAAGTTCCCTTTTAACTTTCCCTCCTTTCTAGACAGATATGTGAACAGCACCTGAGATGCTAATACTGTTTTTCTTTTCAAATGGTTTTAAAAGTGTAAAAAAATACATTTTTGCCTTGCTTATGTCTCTGAAGAATCCTTAAGAGAAGGATTCTTGTTTAAATGGCCTGGGATAGAGAAATTGCACTGGGGTCGGACTTGCTGCTGAAGGATCCTGTGGACATGTAGTGTTCTCAAAAGTATGGCACGGTATGTTGCTGATGCGAAGAGGTCCACAGTTCTCTGCTTCTGGGAGGTCCCAGTAGATCAAACCTAAGCACCACCAGCAGAGAAGTGTTGTGCACTGCTGCCTGTGCTAAGTTCTCCATGCGGAATGAGCGCTCAATCTGCACTTCAAAGTTTCATGATGTGATCTTTAAACTAACAACAACAAAACAGAGCACTGTTGCCAAAATAAGCTGTAGTGTCATCTAAACATAAGGAATCCTACTTTACAGGAGGAATCTTTTTTTAAATGTTTCTAAATGAGACTCTCACTGCAATTCAGTAACCAGAGACACAGTATGCTGAAGTTACAAGGAAGGACGTTACAGAAGATGCTTTCCTTTTCTTCAGTCTTTCGAATCAATGTAGAAAGACAGGAAAACAACAATAATGAAACCTCCCACTGGATCCCCTCCCCTTCCCCATCTACTTTTCCCCACTCAAAATATTGAAACTGCACAAAAAGCGACAAACAAGCCTTTCAAATTACATTTCAATTCAAACAGACTGGTAATCTCACAGTGATGAGAGGAGAAAGTCAGGCTTTTAATAATTATAATATAAAAATAATAAAAAAAGCTTACAAATAGCAGTGCAGCATCCCAAAAGGCCATGGATTAACTGCCAGAAGGGGACGTAATTATACGCAGAATAAAAAACAAAACAGAACAACCCACACTGGCAATGAATTTTCATACACAATAGAACAAGCAGTCAAACGTCAGTCTAGGCTGTGAAAAACAACATTTTTTTCTTCTTTTTTTGATTACAATATTTCTTCCTTTTTATAAAAAAAGATAAAATAAAAACACAAATAAAATTGTACATAAATGCGAATGTCCAACACTGAAAAGGCAGGGCAATCACACCACTGAGACAAAACCTGACCAGGAAAAAAAAGAAACAAACGTGAAGTCCACTTTTTTCCCTTTTGTCTGGATGCTAGATTTCAGCCTGATGCGTCCCATCCTGCATGGTCTCAGCAGGTAAATGGAATTCAACTTGGCAATGACTTCATTGCAGGATGATGACAAGAAAGGTCACCTCTTTTTGACCAGCTGTAGCACAAATGCACCTGTTGGTTCATTTGCTTTCTGTGTATGCTCTCATGTGCTGTCCCTCTTTCTGTTTTCTCTCTCTTTTTTTTTTTTTTTTTTTCTTTTTTTCTTTCTTCTCTGTACAATTCCTTGTGTTCCAAGGCTGAGTCCCAAGACTTGTGAAACTGTTTGGAGTCATGTCCTGGTGAAGGTGGTCATGCTGTAGTGATGGCATTAAGGTCCTTCATAAGTCCTTCCAGGTGGGCCATCTCTTTGGTCAGCTCATCCGGTTCATAATTCTGTGGTGGGAGATGTAAAAAGTTATTGACAAGGTGACTCGCTTTCTTTAAAGAGGTACAGAATAAAAAATAAGAAGTGGTCAGTGATTCTGGTATAGATTGTGACTCTGACAAATGAATAAGCAGAAGCAGATTTATCGACAGTTACAGAAATTAGTAACTTGAAACAACTCTCTATTGTAAGTGCAGATCTTTTTGCAATAGTGATTCATAGTTTCACTGATTTTTAAGACTGTGATCATATTATTTGTTTCCCTTGTATCAATTCCTGCTTCAGGAGAACAGCTTCCTTTGAACCAAAGTAGATGTTTTAGAAAAAACTTCCCAGCTTAACTGGAAAAAAGGGTCGAAGGAATCACTTCAGTAAAACTGTTTTGAGAATCATTATGCTTGCTAAAAATCATACTCCATTTTTAGCCTCAATTGTCTAGCTTCACCTATATTGCATTGATAACAGAATTATGAGAGCTGTTCATGTGTGTAGACAGATACCATGAACTAGTTCATCTCAAAAGCCTTTCTAAGCTGACCAAGTCTTTCCCAGTACTGTGTAGTTTTTAACCTCTTACGTTCTTGGAGCATTTCTCCAAACCCTCTTCACTCTCTACATCGTTTTCACAGAAGGCGAGCCAGGCTACACGTGGTATCCCAATACCAGCTCTGCTAATGCCGAATCAGAAGCAACAGAACTCCTGTGTGACAGTTTCCGCTCTATATATTTAAGGTCCATTATTAGACCTTCTGGCTAGAGTCTAATATTAAAGCTACTGCTCAGCTGATTGCATACCATAAAACTGGAGTCCTTCCCAGAGTGGAGCCCTCAACCCTGACTGTGATCTCACTTCCTTTGCTTCTAGATACAAACCTTTTCTTTCATTTAAATAGAAATTAAGACAGCAGGCACTTTCCAGTTTACCAAGCAATCTAAGATTGTACCAGAAGTTGTCTCTGTCCTGTGTCTAACGCATTATCTCCCTACTATGGACAATGACAAAATAGCAGTGAGCTGGAAGTACTCACACTCATTCCTACAGGCTCTCATAAAAATAAGCAGAATCAATTCAAATCACTATCTAATCCTAATCTTTAAAACTCATAATTTAACTAGTGTTTAGTGTGCTGTGGTGTCTTTATATTGTACTAATTTATTAATGAAGAAATTTATTAATGGCTGTATTTAAATATTAAAAATTTGTTGATGAATAAACTAATGAGTATATTTTTGGTACCAACCAAAGAAAAGAATAAAGTAGGAGTGACAACTAGGCAGAAGGGCACCAAATCAAGCATGCATATAGTTTTTAGACCAGCGCATACAGAAATAAAATCAAGAGGGTGACAAAAACAATGTGACAAAAGGAAAGGACAATAAGGAAACAAGAAAAAAAAAAAAAGAAAAAATAATTCAAAATAAACATTTCCTGTAGAAGTAATACAATAGCTAATACAGTAACTTCTTCGCTTGCAGTTTGAAAGGAAAACAGCTCTTCCAGTGCCTGACACCCAGAACATCCTCACTTAAAAGCTGTTTCCAAAGCAGCCCAACAGTTGCATTTTTCCCAGGTAGTCAGAACACTTTCATATGAGTATCTAAAAACATATTTGGGATGATAGCTTTAAATATTTTGGCATTAATGCTACATTTTCCATCTGCAATGACACTTTGGCTGCTCTGCAGCAGCACAGGAAGCTGCAGCTGCATGACTTTAATAGGATCCAGGCACAGTATGTTTGCAAAACAGACAGAAATAAATGACATCTCAAAGCAAGCATGAACGCAACATCTTAAGCTGTACAGAAGAGCAAATGGCACGGTTGGAGGCATTCAGCTCTGTGAACAAAGATGCTCTTTACATCAAGATAAGCAGGCAAAAAACATGTGCAGGGCACTTCTACAGCTTCAGTACAGAAGTCTGCGTATAGAAGCCCAAGGCATACACCGAAGCTCCATTAGGCGCTATGTACCGTAAAGAATGGAAAGATTAGTGCTATAGATGGTATTGGTCTTTACTCTCCTTTTCTTGTAATTGCGACAGGGCAGCAGAAACCAGAAGCACTGAGCATAAGTCAAGAAAGGAGATCTCACAGAACATTACTCTATGTTCAGATAATAGCCAAAGAGTTGCCAAAGGTTTTTCAGTTTTTGACTGAGTGGGCCTAGTGGACTGGAATAGATGGAAGCACTGCATCCATTTAGTGTTGTGTAATTAGGAATGAAGATATGCTCTTAAGTAATTTTCAGATTTAGAAAGCACTACTAGTACTTCCAGTTTAAGTGCTTATTCTCTGAATTTACTGCCTTGTGTAGAAGTGGAATTTTTTTATATGGGTTAAAGGCAATGGCACTTGGTGGAAGTCAGAAGCCTTGTTATCCTCTGCCTTTGAAAGTCTCGGTGCGGACATTACTAAAGTTTACAAGTATCACATAAAGACAGATTCACCACAGTTTGATAAGCACTGCCAAAGGAAGCCACTGGCAGTGTAAGAGTACCTACGCCTTCCGAGTCCTCAAGCATCCTGGTGGTCTCCTGAACGTCAGGGGCACTGGGAACTACCACTGGCATAGGAGGTCGAGTTCTTCCTAAGGTCCCAATTGATGCAGTCTTCACTGAGTGAACTGGATGATTAGGAGCTTAAAATAAAGTGTTATATAGTTATGCCTCAGTTAATTAGTTCTCTTGCCTATTCCGAAAGCTCTTGAAAGTGGGAGAATAAAAAGGATTCTATTAGAGGAAAATGAACACTTCAAATTACGGAGTGCTGACTTTGAATTCTTGTCTAGTTTATCTATGTACCTAAAAGAAAAGGGCCTTGAAAATTATACCAACAAAATTCACGAGCCTCTGACATATTTCCTTTGACACCCAACTCTACCCCCCGCCCCTTAAGGGGCTTCCCTCATTTTCTTCTTAAAATCTCCTTTTTCTCTTTTTGGCAAGTGTGCCTTGCCAGTTTTCCCCCACTCACCTTGCTGAGTCAGTAACGGTGTGCTTGGCAATGCAGGGTCATACGTGGAACCAGCTGGTGGCACTGCTGGCACTGCAAAACTCTTCAGCGGGTGGGAAGGACGGACATGTGCTGTAGGGAGGTTCTGAGCCGAATCTTCCTCTTGCGCGTTAGTCAGATAAGACCCTGTGGTGCTTTCAGGATCCTGGTGGTCAGCACACGCCTGAGACGAGGAAGCTGGCATGGTGTCTGTGCTAGGTGTGTTTCGAACAGATTCTAGTATTAAAAAAAAAAAAAAAAAAAAAAAGAGTGGTTTATTTTCTTTAACAGACATGTTCTCTGTGTCAGATGGAAACAAAACAGTAGCGTTTGCAAGCACCTTTTCCAAGATCACTGTTACAAGCTAAGAAATGAATTCACATATTAACTGTCTGTGTAGGAAATAACACCAATTCTGTGTAACTGTCCTGTTTTAAGGTAAAGGCAAAGGCTGTCTAATAACAAAATAAGCTTGAGAACTGAATGATTCCACAGGCATAATACCAAATCAACAGTTTTGCACTGAAACAGCTACATGTAATAAGACCTCAGATAAACAGCATGGAACACAAATCTTCATTCTCTTTTTACCCTTGAGTATTTCACAGTATTGGCATTCTTAAATAGGTGTACATTAAGCATGTATTACTGTAGTGCATACAGAAGAGCCAAATTTTTTTCTGAGATAGACTTGAAATCCCTTTACTTGCTGAAAGCTAAAATGTTCATTTGTTTGTCTGCAGCAGGCTCCACCCTGATCTAAGGGAACAATGATAATGGTATCTTGAATTTAGGGCATTGTGATCCTACTCAGACCATATGCAGGAAAAGATCTGGATTGTGAGAGCTTCAGCAGTATAAACAGAACAAGGGAAACCTCTGCCTCTAACATATCATCTGTCTGTATACTTGCAGCCTCATGAATTGGTTTCATAAGGAAACAACGCTGTTGGCTGTGGCACCTTAATTAAAATGTAGACCTTAAACTAGAGAAGCTCAGAATTCACTTCATCTCAAGATGTCACCTACATGCAATTTAGCAATACTGTTGCTTCAGAATTTTTCAGAGCACTGGAGACATTACGAAAACTATTGCAAATGATTGTGCTTCAAGCCTGAAAATGCTGCATAGAAATCACCACAATTTTCTGTGTGCTTCAGGAAGATACACTAATGTCAGCTCCCAGTAGCAAAGTCTGGACTTTTGTCCTCTCTCGGTTTTAAACACAAGTAATTAGGAAAAAAGTTATCATATTAAGTAGCTCAAATTAGATTTAATCTGACGTTTCAGACTCCAGGGCTGAAGGCTTTAGAATAAGGAATCTTCCTGTTGAAGTTGTGTATAAAACATTAAGCCACCTTTTCCAAGGACATCATCACGTTCCTCAAGGATCAATATCTGATATACACAAGAAATTGTTTACAGAAAACTCAATCTATCAAGGATTTAGTCTGTACTTAAACCCATCACTCCACCTCTCATGGAACACCACAACGGAGACTGACCAAATTAAGTTTCAGGTTTTGATTTCCACGTTTCACTCATTGTTCCATTACAAGCAAAATCTACCTGATCATTTATATCTCACCTGTGGAATTGGCCCTGTCTGAATGGGACATGGATGTGCCAATCGGCCACGGGTTGACCTGGTGATGAAGATAGCTGCGAGTTGGAGAAGCGAGGCTGCCGGAGTGGAAATGATGGTGAGGGTTATCGAGTGAATGGATGGGATGAGCACTAATCACAGCTGTGAATGAATATAAGACAGAAAAATGCTTAACATACAGACAAGCATGCACATGTACTGAAATGCACCATAACCCTCCCTTCTCCCACAGAGCCACTGAACAGGGGAGCCAATCGCTCAGCAGATTACAATGACACCAAGATGACGTTTCAATACCAATTTTCCAACTCTGCTCCAGCACTTTAGCTCCCTCCATGCCAAGACACAAAACCCCCAAAAGAGGTAGAGTTCTTCATCTTCCTGTGCAGAAAGTGCATCTCTCATGGCTGTATCTTTCAAGCACTTTCTGTTACACTTGAGAAAAATGAAGCTCAGCTCCCTTTAGAACTTCCATGTATTTCATGCTGTGCTATAAATGTCAGACCTAATACAGGAGACATATGAGCTCAAATTCCAAAATAATTTCTGGCTGTCACTGAATTTCTTAATGTTGTAACCAAATGTGGCATCTTTGGTTAATTAAATAATGCAAGACAAAGACAAGACACCAAAGGCTCTGTGCAGACTTAGTAAAGCTCTGCTCCAATACACTCAAACCAAATGCCTCTTTTTCTTTTTTCCCCTCTTTTTTTATCTTGCTGTTTTCTTCTTCCTGTTTGAGAGACATGGATTTTATACTTAATGTAAATCATCCTTTGCCCTCGCCCTTTTGTGCTAACAGCAAAACAAACTCTCACTACTCCCCAGCTGGGAGGAAAAGCATGCAGAATTTAGTTCTTATGACAGACTAAAATACTGAATTGCTTAAAATCATCCAAAAGAAAGAGTCTCAACACAGGAGGGAAATGCAGGGAAAACCTGATTCAGTGAAAAGCCACGTCCCCAGAAAGTTTACCCTGCCACCGGGCCGTCCAGCTTAAACTGCTGGGTTTTGCTAATAATTTGCTGGGTTATCAGACCTAAATCATGTATAGCTTTACAGGTCAAAAATCAGTATGTTGTACCACCAGCTCTTAATGAAGATCATGATGCACTGTTTAATTTCAAGGAAAAGTTCAGATGAAGAAATGGATAAAGAGAAATGTGGTGTGTTAAGAAAGAAATAGCTCCTTACTTCCTAATTGTCATAGAATCTTGGTTTTCCAGTTCTCAAAGAAGGAACTAACCAGGCATACACCATTCCTGTTGCATTACTGTAAAGTATACTAAAATTGAATATACTAAATTAGGGTAATTTAGTATTTAAAAGGTAAGTAACTAGATTTGAATGGGGGGAAAAAAAACACAATAGGAAGGTACCTGCAGGCACAGACTTAAACACACTAAATGGTCCTGCCTTCTCTGTTGCTTGCTGAGAAAGAGCCTCATGTACCAGTGTCAGTTTTCTGTGTAGCTTCTGCAAGAAGGTATCTAGACATTAATTAATGTTTCCACTTACTGTAAAATAGAAACCTACAGTTGGAAGCCCTCAGAGCTTTTGCAAACAAGACAGAACGTCAAAGTCACAAAAACAATCTCCATCCCTAAGGCACCAGAGGACCTTACATTGTCCTTCCTGACATTTAGTGCATCATGCTAACCCTGTCACAATAAGCCAGCCGTGTCTGTTTCATTCTTTCTGGGCAAGGCAATATCTAATAAAGAGGGCAAAAACAGACAGGCTTTTCAAGTGAACACAGCAGGACTGGTATCAAAAAGGGATGTCACAGCTGGGTTTAGTGCTGCAAGGGAAAATCATATCCACAACTGTATCTGCCAGCATTATCGCACAGCTTGAATACCATCAAAAAGTAGAACTGGAATATCCTACCTCCCTAAGATACGTATCACCACTGTATCACTTGTGCCAACTGTACATCTTTTCATCCTGTGTGGGACTGATTATATAAGTTGCTGAGTATCTTTCTCACTGAATAACACAGTATGAGGGGTTCTTTGGTACGCTGTTTCGGTGGAGCACTCAGCACACTTCAGCACTGGCTCCTGCGAGAGTTAATCTTATGCTGTATGTATCCAATGCTGCATCCCATTTAGAGAAAAAACACTTTGAAGTGCACAGGGGAAGACTTATTGCAGTCTGAATTTGTTACAGGGTCACACAAGTCTGAACATGATGATGTTCCCGCACCTGGCATGGGACAGGAAACCATGAGAATCCAATAGCTGCCATGTCCCTTGTTAGATACCCATATCTGACAGCAGACAAAACTTTTAAGAAACTAATGGGAGGAAAGATAAGTGTAAAACTGTATCCTCTGCTCCTCCTTCATATGTGTAAAACTGGGAGAAAACAAGGAGCATCAGACTGTTTTAAAACCAAGAAAAAAAAGATACTACTCTTGTGAAAAGGTTGTAAAACAAGGAAACAATCGAAAATTCACAAACTGAGCTAATCGGGTCATCAGGACACTTGAAAAAGCACATAGAGGCCAAGAAAACCAAGCACTCACTTCAGGTAAATAAAGTAAAAAGTTAGAAAGTTGAAACATAATGGACTGGCCTGATACCATTCCATAAAACACAAGAGCTTGTGGTAGCAATTACCTGGCTACAGGGTTGAACACGAACATAGTGCTCAGGGAAGTCTAAAGCTCAGACCAGATAAGGACTGTGTAGTTTTGCCTCACAGTTATGTCACTGCATGTTAACTTTTGTACTTTTTACTTATGTTCTCAAGTCAGGGTTTCAGTCTAGTTGTTCAGAGGTTTAGCCAAGTCCCTTTCCATCTCAGAGTCATCATTTGAAAACTAGATATATTAATTCTTAAAATATTTCATAATAATAATTAAAATATATTTCTACTCCCTCAACAAAATTTCAGTTCAACACTTCTGCTCAAATCACCACTAACTGATAGGGAAATACACAGATAAGAAATAACAAACCAGACATCCTCCTCATTTAAGAGTCTGCTCTGCCACACTCACAAAACCTCAGCCTCTATCAGTGGTCTATCCACTTTCTACTAAATTAGTACAATAAACACATTGTGGAGCAAAGCTACTGTACATATTGCAGGCTTTTGGTATCCTTTCCAAAAGATGAGCAGTGTTATTCCTTCAGAGCCATGTCTTCTGCTCAGTAAATTAGGGGACTAGTCACAAGTGGGGATATCTTGCACTGAGACATGTGGTGATCTATTGCCCCAGCTCTCTAATTCTCTCCTACTAGATGAGCAGCCGAGTTGTTTCTGAAGCTGCTCCTGAGCCACTACTGCATTTTAGCATCAATCCATACTGATTTTGGTTTGCCATATGAGCACGGACTGTAGACTACAGCTGGTCAAGAACTGCTTCACAAACAGCTATCCATGCAGTGGGGAGAGCAGTAATGTTTAATGTTTCGGTGTAAGAGTAAGACCACTGCAGATAAGGGTAAACATGGTAATTTAGAAAAGAGTAAGCCTGACTCCTGTAAAAGTAAATCCTGCATCACTAACCTCAGAGTTTTAAGACGGTGCCAGTAAATATGAAACTAAAGGGCAACAGTGAATCTAACACAGCTACATTTTCGAAAAAGCTCTGACAAGGCTCCACTCCAAAGTTAAAATATTAAGTTGCTGTTAGAGGGAAAACTCTTTTGTGGACTGAAAGCTGGTTACAGATAGGAAGCGAAAGGAAGGGATGATCAATTTTCCAGAGGAAGAGTCAGCAGGAGATTCCCCAGGTATCAGTGCTGGGACTGGTTTTAATCAATTATCTTTCTCAGTGACCCAGACATGGAAGCAATCAGAGAAATCTTCAAATTTGGAAATTATATTAAGGTCTTTGGGGTCGTCAAATGCTATTTTGATGGCAAGGAACTCCAGAAGGACCTCATAAGACTGAGCGAGCAGGCAAAAAGATGGCAGGTAAACTTTAGCATAGCTAAATAAGCTATTACAGTAGTAATACATCAAGGGGAAAATAATCCAAACAGTACTTACATGATTATGCACTCGGAGCTGGCAGTTACAACTCAGCAAAGAGTTTTTGGGGATATGGTTGCCAGATCTCTGACACCGTTAGCTCAATATGCAATGGCAGCCAAAAAAGCCACCAGAATATAGTACCTCATTCAGCACAGAAGGTATTAAGAACAAGGCAGAGGACACCATTTCCTGCTCTGTAAGACCTTGGTGGTACTGTGTCCAGCTCTGGCCTCTCAGCATCTCAAGAAGCATGTAGTAAAGTTAGAGAAGGTTCTGAAAATGGCAACTAAAGCGATAAAGGGGATAGCTGCCTCATGAGGGGAGTCTAAAAGGCTTTGATAATTTGGTCTGGGGAGAAAACTAACAGTGGAGAAAAACCTGAAAGAGATTTATCAACTCTCTACAATTCTGTCCTGGTTTCAGTTGGGATAGAATTAATTTTCTTCCTAGTAGCAGGCATAGTGCTGTGTTTTGGATTTAGTAGGAGAAGAATGCTGATAACACACTGATGTTTTAGTTGTTGCTAAGTACTGCTTGTGCTAGTCAAGGACTTTGCAGCTCCCCATGCTCTGCCAGGTGCACAAGAAACTGGGAGGGGGCACAGCCAGAATAGTTGATCCAAACTGACCGAAGGGCTATTCCATACCATATGATGTCGTGCTCAGTATATAAACTGGGGGGAGTTGGCCAGGGGCAGCGGTCGCTGCTCGGGAACTGTCTGGGTATCAGTCGGCAGGTGGCGAGCAATTGCATTGTGCATCACTTGCTTTGTTTTTTATTATTATTATTATCATCATCATCATCACTATTTCACTTTATTTCAATTATTGAACTTTTCTTATCTCAACCCAGGAGTTTTCTCACTCTTACTCCTCCGATTCCCCCATCCCACTGGGGCAGGGGGAGTGAGTGAGCGGCTGCATGGTGCTTAGTTGCTAGCTGGGGCTAAACCATGACAAATTCCTATGTAACAGCTGGATACTGGCAGACTACAAAGGGAATGCACTATAAAAAGCAGCCAGGCTCACATGCTCTCTGTAAAAAGCACCTGCAGTTGCCACTGCTGGTGACTGGGACAGACAAGACTGTTGGACACCTTCCTAACTCTTCCCCATTTTTTCAGCATGCCTCCTGCTCGCTCAAATACAGCTATTCAGTTTTTCCTTTTAACTGGATCTAACTCTGCCTTCACAATAAGGGATTCAGGATGCCTTATTTGAACTTTTTCCACTGCAGATATGACAGAATTACTTAGGAGAAGTAAGTAGGAAGACAGTATGTGAGTGTGTGTGCCTGTGCATACAGTGTCAACACAGCTTGTTTGGGTGCTCCCAATTTCAAGCCAGCTGGTAGGTGGGCTGTTGACTTACGCTGAGGTGGCTGAGAATCAAAAGGCATCATCATCTTGGGCCTCATCCCCCTTCTTCCTGCCAATGTGGACATGCTATCCTCTGACTCATGCCCTGAAGGAAAAATACTCAAGGTTATTTACCACTGCAGCAAGACTTCTGTGATACCATACCAGGTGATTTCAATCCTCCTCTATTTCTGGGCTGTCCTGTTTGTAAGCAGTTCTGTGACTCATAATCAATAAAAACAGCTCTTTCATCCTTCACTAGAAGGTGGAAAAGAGGTCAGTTAGGGTAAAGATTACTGGGCAATGGAGAAACTATCACAAATCTCTGGCAGTGCAGCTCTGGGCAATGAGTGGCAGTACAAGGAGTCACACATATGGGTAAGATGTGCTGGAGTAACAAGTTAACCACTCACCAAGTGAAAACTCACCCACACCTCAAGAGCTGAGCAATAGCTGGTTAAAGCACCAACACCCAATTGTGTGTTTGACCGCTGAAAAAATGTCACACACATCTCAACAGTTTAATATGAAACATTTGTTAGATGATCTTCTGATTACTCATCAGTATTTACCAAGGGAAATTCATGATTTAACTCTTGGGCACTCAATTTTCTCATTAAAACATGCGATCCATCCTTTTCAGAGAGTCTTATAAACTAGGCACAAAACTAATTCACTACTTGCAAAGTAAGAACAAAAAAAAAGATAAGGATAACTGAGCAATATGTCAATAAAGTGGTTTCACCAGATACAAATATATTTAATATATTTAAATATATAACAAATATATAAATAGTAAAATATATTTAATTTTAAACATCATGGTCAAAGTACTCGTGGATAGCTCACCTCTGTAGGAATTCCGGCGCTGATGGATATTGCTGTCCATGGAATTATCAACAGGGGTGATATCCTGGGAGTTGCGAGGGATTGGGGTATCTGTCATGATTGGATTGGGATCTGGAGATTTATCAATGGGTTTTAGCTCCAGTCTTTCATGATGGATCCAGAGGTCAGGAGGCTTCACATCTTTGGAGTTTCCTTTGTACTTATGGGAGCCATTAACTGATTTGCAGGCAGCTCGTTTCCTTGGGAAGCAAAACAAATGAAATGTTGTTAGATGATGTAGTTAGATGTAGGCTTCCTTTCACTTGTTGAAAAAGGCAAATTTTCACTGAGATTTCCTTCAGATCCTGTATCCAGCTGAACAAAAGCTACCCACTGGGCAGGAAGCTTTGAATTTTACATATAAGCACATCTGACATCGCAAAGCATATTCTGCAACTCTGATGCCATGAAATTTGTCTCAAATGCTACCACATGCTGCAGAACTGTGCTCTACAGTCTAAGCTTTCATTAACAAAAATTAAGTTTCCAGTATTTATGGTTATTCAGAGAATATTCTAAACACAAAGTATACGTACATCATGCTATGCCCATACTCCAGGGCTTACAAACAACCTCAAAGAATAGCTGCGTGCAAATAGGCAATTATCCCAACAGGATAGTTAACTCTAAAGACTAATGACAAGAATGTTCATTTTACCACTGCTCACGTTAGACACATCTAACAAACATGCTTTTTCATCGCTGTTGAATAGCAGCAGCAGCAAACTGATTGTGAGGCAGACATTTGACATGACGGAATTTTGGAAAAGTAAAATGTAGAGTTCCAGCACTGCCCTCCACACGCACTCCTCACTTTGGACCTTGGCAACGATGGAGGAAGGTGTCCCTTCTGGGTAGCACACTTGCTAGAAATGGCTAAGAAATGACTAAATAAAATTTTGAAAATATCAATGAACGAAGCCTCTTGTGTAGGTGATACGCAGCCAGACACGCTGCCAGCACCCTGCTTTGAGCACTGTAGCTGAAGAGTAAAACAGATCAGAAGGTTATTCACTGGTGGTAGATTGCTGCATGTAAGAAAGGTGGCATTTAGAAACTGGGAAAACAAAGGCAAGATTTCACAGGGTTATTTCTGCTCTTTGAAAATAAAATACATCTCCTGGGCACAGGCCCATGAATTTTGCCCTCTCCCAAGCACACCCCCCAGTTGCTAGACCATCACCCATGTATCCTTGCTCTCCTCTCCTGGAGAACTTGCATTTTTGCAGGATGGTTCAGCTTCAGCAAAGCAAGTGGAGATTATCTTCTAAGCCTGGCTTTTAATCACGTTCTTAAAACTCTGTTTTGCATAACAGAGTCTTTTCAAACTTAAAAAAGACCTTCAGCTCTGTTCAGTTCTTTCAAAGAACATGCACAAACAACCTTCAGGAGCCTATAAATGGAAGCATTGCTGCTACAGTCTTAATTCAGATGCTCTAAATGAGGGAATAATTCAGATACACACCTATATTTTGGATTTTGGAGCACTTTTCTAAGGAGCCCAGCACCAGATTCAGATTCCACTCCAGTAATCTATCTAAAAATTGGGTATTATCATGCACAGCTTGTAAACCTACTCCACACAGTGAAGTACCTGCTAAGAACAGAAGTGAGAATCTGCCTGAGCTGTTGAGCTCTCACAGGTCTAAACAGATGTTTGGAAACAATATTTTAAACAATCATTTCTCCTCAGAGAGGAGCAAGTGCAGATATACATGAAAGCATTGCCCCAGTTTGCCTGTAAACTCTTGATGGTTTGTGAACTCTGAAACACTCATTAGGAAAAACAGAACATCATCATCGCACGCATGATAACTTAGCTGTATTGATGCATGTTGTCTTCTGAACACAAGAATTCAAACTCCATTACTGATCTGTTGTCAGAACAAAATTTCTATAGCCCACAAGACTTAAAAGTAATAAACTCTAAAGCATCATAAAGAGAAGATTAAATAATAGAATTAAGTGAGGAAGGTAGGACAGGGCAAAGTGCCACCCAGACATCTTACTTTTTTTGGTGAGAAGTTGTACGACGAGTGCAGAAGACAGCAACTATTACCACTATCACAATGGTGATCACTCCAACAGATATTATGATTACAAGGAGCATGTTGCTGTCCAAGGGAGAAGTAGGACTTCCATGGGGACTGTTACTGCCTGTAAGAGTTTCAGATGGGAGAAAGGGGTTATTTATTATCTAGAAAACATCCCCATCAAAAGCAAGCAGTGCCCATCAAAGACTTCTAGAATCATACAGATTAGCAGAATGAGAAATATGGTTTGTCTGCTAGGATTTCAAGTTAAGTACTTCCTTATTTTTTTGTCATTTGCCAATTGTGTTTCTGTACAATTTTTAAATCCATAAGATGCTTTATAGATCCATTTCCAGCTAACAGTAGATAAAGACTTATGTTCACCCTGCTCAAATAGTTATCATAAAAAAAACCCCAATCAGTATTTTAGAGTCTAAGGAGAGTTAACCTGGGACCTTGCTAAAACTACAGCACTACAGGCATCCCCTTGGACCCAATAATCATATGAATTGGTATCAGTGTTCTACAGTAGTCACTTCCTCTAAAAGAAACACATTTTGTGTAACACTAATGAGCGTTACCTTAGGGCAAGGCTTCCGCAATGCGCAGTGCTAATAAGGAGAATGAGTTAAGATTTTTTTTTCCCTTCCTAGTATGTTCTTACTGAACTAATTTTACACTGGTGCACTTTAGCAGCCATTTAAAACTAAACTGGGAACAAGATCTGCTTATCAAGACTGAAATGTAAATGCACGTGATGATATTTTTTCCATATACCCCACACAGTAGGCAAGAATACTATGACAGAAGTATGATACAATTTCTTGAGTGGGAACAACTATCATCATAAAGAGAAAACGTTACTGGAACAGATGTAATCAGTATTTTCAGTAGGATATAGCAACACTCGGTGAAACACCAAAAGATACCGCATTTAAATTGAAAAGCTTTATAACAACACTTACCACCAAGTGGTGGTTTGTAATCCGGTCCTATGTCCACTGGGCGGCTTCCTTTCCCTGCAGATCCTGAAGCTGAAAAGGTCATATATGTGGTAATTTTATATACATATATATGCACACATGTACAGATAAACACACACTTCAGCATTTCCTAAGGTAGCTCTTTCAGAACTTCTCTGAACCACTGTGAGCATTTCCCCCCCGCCTCCTTTTCTCTCCCCTACAACATGATTTGGCTTTGAACAACAACTGTTTTCTCCAAGAAGAGAACCACTTCTTCAAAAGAGCTATTTAATAATTAGTTTCCTGCATTACTATTTTCCTAGTTTAGGAGCCTCTACTAGTATTCATTTTTAAAAATGTAATAAAAATTATTTGCAGTAATAGACAGGTATATATTGAGGCAAATGGCTTTGCCACACTTACACAGATAGTTAATAATCTTGAAACAGTACATAACAGTATACAGGTTTCTTCTCCTAATATCTAATTATAGTAAGTGTGGAAGACTGGAAATAAGTGGAGGATCAAAAGCGCAGTAAACGTAGCATTAAGTCCCTGCCTACCCATAAAAACTTGCCTTCAACTTTTCCCCATTCTTTTCTGTTTGTTTCACCTTCACCACAAGTGACAATAAAGTATCACAAAAATGTTTTTGGTGAAACCTGGGAAAACAAATTAATTTGTTTCAAAGCTTTATGTTTATAGGCTGACAATGGAAGTAAACATGTCTGTTCCTCAGTTATTACAAACTGAGGCAAATTACACAGCCCCTCCTGAACTGAATTAGCTACTGCTAGTGGGCTCCTAGGTGCTGAATGTAAGAGCTGCCCTACCAGCTGAAATGCTGTCCTCTTTTTACTCTAACAAGTACTTCCCCTTGCATAATTCAGGTCTAATTTAGATCACTTGCTGCCACAGCAAGACGCACAAAGTCACAAGTTCATCTCTTATGTTAAGACCTCTCCTGAGTTAGCAGAATGCTTCCCACAGATAAAGATATACAAACCCCTGGTTCTTTCACTTCTGTATTTTCATTAAAATGCACTAATGCTGAATTACCATGAACGATAAAAGTAGGGGAAACATACAGCAAGACGCAAAGAACAGCATTTCTCTTGTTACAGGAATCCATAATACTTTGCACATTTTTATACTGTTACGCACAAAAAGCCAAACCCACAAAAAACCCCCAAGTGTCTGCAAATTTGGCAGTTTCACAATCAAGAGAAGGATTTTCTCAGTTAAAAATCCACTCTAATCAAGACGTAGTAAGTGTTAAAGGATGTGTAACAAATGGAAATTGTGAACCCGAAGTCAAAGCCTGTAAATTAGTCACTGTGAAATAAAGACAATTGGTAAAAACACCAAAAGGTACCAGCAAGACTACTGATTCAGCCCTGAGAAGGGCAGTAAGAAGGAATGTTACATGTATACAGCAAGGAGTTAGATGTAGCCTAAAATGATGGAAAAGATGTATCGCAGGACAAATCTATAATGAAAAAGACATATTGCACCTGCCAGTCTAGCAAGGACACTGCATTCAGTGAAAATGTGTTCTCTTTTTGAAGTACTGGACTAATAATTTTGCAGCAGCAATGAAATAATTTAACAGAATTTTCAACAGCTTGTATTTAATATATTTACATCTGTACGACCAGAAAACCTGCACTGAAAAGATGTCACAAAAACCCTAGATGAATTCTCTGAATCACTGAACCTGGTGCTGAAGATATGTTGTAGCAACAGAGAAGCTGCGGGAGAAGGGGGGAATAAAAATAACTGACAATATTTTAAAAGGACAAATAGACACGCTATACATTTTTAGTGCAGCAGCTGGAGCCTTAACACAGGCAAGATCATGGAAAAGGTGACAGATAGGAGATGGTGGCATACTTTATGCGCATCTTTCTGTTTTATTGAAAGCAGGTATTTTCAAACAAACTAAATGTCAGACTATAATTTAGTTGGTAACAGTAACTACACATACATACTATATTTAGACTTCCATAAAACATTTTACTGAGTACTGTACAACACTTTGTTAAAAATAGCATAATAAAAAAGCAATGTGGCACATATTAACAAGATTAACAACTAATTAACTGATAAGAATAAGAATTATAATTGCAGAATCATTATTCATGAGGGATATTTCTATTGAGTTCTGCAAAGATCTGTGCTTGGCCAAGTGTAATTCAATATCCTTAATAACACCATGAAAGAAAATTAAAATAATTGCTTCTGAAGTTAACAGATAACATAAAATAATGGAGTAGATAATAAGATATACAAAGTCACCTGCACAGACCACCCGGGATCATGTGGTACATGTGGGTGTAACACTGAGTCGGTGAGGTTTATCATAGGGCCTGCACTCCCTGCACAATGCATATACTCACACAGCCAACTGCAGATTTTATATATTCCCACCCCATATGTGTGTGTATATGTGACAAAGTATATAGGTCATATTCAGACGATAAAAACATTGCAAGGCAGCAATATGGAGAAAGCAGTATCCTGGCAAGCAGTCATATTTCCAAAGGCTATAGACATCCTTGGGAATAACTACCTGCGCACAATCCTCGTAGAGCATGGCAGCTCAGGGATGTCTGATACTGGCACCGACTGCGCGGTGTCAGTGTCTGCACATTTCCAAAAATGTGCAGACACTTTCCAAAAAAGGTAACCACAAGATACAAAGTCCAGTTTTCAAAACACAATGAAATTTAGGTACCTAACCAAGACGCTTCTCAGTATCTAATTCCTGAAATCAGGGATCAACAGTTTAGCCTTTAAATTCTGGGGAGCTCATCTCTTATGCAGCGCAACCTGAAAGATGACCTGGCTCTTTTCTGCAGTTTATGTGGACATAAAGATTGTAACTCAGCGCTTCTCTCAGAAGCGGCCAGTCACCACCACAACATGGAGTGTAAGTCTGGCTTCTACATGATGTGCTCTGAACAAGCATATGCACATGCTGCATCTCCTGTATGGACAGCAGCCTTTTTTCTAGGCTATTACAAAGTTTGTTGCTGAGGTTTTCCATTTCCTTCCATATTAAGGAACAGATTGAGATAACATTTACTTGAAACTGATTTTTTTTTTTTTTTTTCTTTTAAGCTTGTCAATCTCCATGTTACCCATTAGGTATCGTTAGCCAGACAACATATTTTAATTTTGTGTTACTTTAGGATAGTTTTACTAGGATTAGATACCTTAACCTTTGCTTTTGTACTAGGCCAGTGCAACTCCTTGAAGCCTGACAGCAACAGCCACTAACTTCTCCCAATACAAGCTCTGTGCTATAGAAGTGTGTGGCAGAGCAATACAGTGTGCTTAATATAGAAGAAAAACATTAAAGTAGAGGAGAGAAAAAAAAGAACCACTAAGGCCACAGAGTCAATCCCATTATAGTTTTGTTCCTTCCCAGTCTTCAATAACTTGCCTACCATTTCCTGAAAGACACAATTCTGCAAGTCAGTGATATTGTCACAGAGCAGGCTTTTCTGCTCTTCAGCTCGTCTTCTCCTTTTCTACATTTAATGTACTGCCATGATTTATAATCTCCAAGTATTCTTATAGGAATTCTGCAACAAAACTCTTTTGGCTTTTATGATTTATAAATTATATAATTTGATACAAATTTATCACATTGTTACTAGAAGAATGTGTTACTTTATGATGATAACAACGGATGAGAAGATTTAGTTATCTGCTGAAATGAGGTTAGAATAGTGCAGAACAGAAAACAGCAAATTTTACATAAACTTTTAATGTTCCCCTATTCCCTTCCTCTTGCAATTGAGCACTAACAATGACATGGTGAGTATCTGCTTCCCCACAGACAAGCCTGAATCTCAGCTATCATCTCTGTTACACAAGTCTGGATATGAATTTACTCCATAACTGTCTAGTATCAGCGTTATTTGGTATGCAGAAGGTAAAAGCATATTTAATAAATTACTTCTAAGTAACAAGTTGAAAAGCAAGTCAAAAATAAAGCAGCTCATTCTCAACCCCTTTAGGATCTATTTAATTGTATGTCTAAGCTGCTTGCCCATGTCCTTTTAAACTCATCCCTTCAGACTAATTCTTTCCCTTTTTATTGGGCCTGTAGGTTATTTGGAAGAAAGCAAAAATAGCCCTGGGACATTCACCTTGTAATTCAATGTAGTAAACTCAAAGTTACCATTTTCCAAGCTAGCATTTTAAAATCTTAAGGCTTTTAGTAGCTAATGCTGTGCTCTTCAGGAGAGTCTGGAGTCTAAATCAGCTGACAAGCAGAAACTCTCTTGCAAAAAAGCTTTCTAGAGCAGGCATACTTTCCTTTATTATGAAAATAATTATAGATGTAGAGCTCACAAAACAGCACTTGTACAAATTAGATAACTGTTTGATCCTCCACCTCTGGTACTGAGATCTTGCATCGATGGTCAGAGGCTGGCGGGAGTATCACTTAATCCAAATTAACTTTGACAGAATGATTCAGCTTTGGCACAACCCACTTGTCCCTTCATGTGACATCTGCCTACAGAGATCACTTTATATTCCCAACACCCAAACCACAAATAGGACTTCCAGTTCTTCCACTATTAAAAGCACAACAGGAACTTGCTCATTTACAGTTAGAGCAGCAGATACTTGTTTCATTTAGGAAATGCAACAGCACATGGACAGGGAATACAAAATGTGTGAAGGATGGAATAAAAAAGAAAGTGTGGCTATTCATTTACCTTGATCATTAGGCATTTTATCTGAGGATTCAGCTAGTGAGACAAGCACAGGGAAGGAAAAAACAAGAGAAAGATCACAAGGCTTGAAGGAGTGAGAGACAGAATTTAAAGTTTCTCATAGCATAAGTAGACTAGCTAGGGCTCTCATTTCTAACCACCAATGCTCATATAGAAAAAGTACTGTGAAAAAAATCTACTCATAACTTTTTATTTTTCACCTCTCCTTAGAGTACTTTTTTTCCAAGCTATCGTGCATTCATACTATTTCACTAGTTACCCATCACCAAGCAGTTCTTGATTTAAGAGCCTGTTGTGTCACACTAGTTCCCACTATATCATACAAGTCACTAGCAAGCGGTTGTGCACTGGCTACCAACTCCATAGCCTGCTGCTTTATACCATTTCATCATGAGCAGATGTGACATACAAGACCTAGAATTTTAAAGCAACTAAAAACTGGTTTTCTAAAAAGCACATTTAGGACATGGATGCTCAGCATTAGTAACTAGATGACCTAAGTGCCCACCAGTAATTTTGAAACCACACAATTAATCAAACAGCTCAGCAACATTTGCGTATGTATTAACTACATGCAAGATCGTTCCAATAGAACATTTCATTCTAGTCAAACTCTATTGTCGTCCTGTCTTTTCCAGTTTAAATATAAAATTCATGCTACTGGTATCTTATCCTTAAAGAGGCTACATTCAGAAAATGAGGAGGAAGATATTTAGATATATATGATAGTTTACCTTTTGGGGTTCTGAACTGAACTGCCTCAGACATAGGCCCCATGCCCTTCGAATTGCGGGCCTGAATTTTGAAGTAATACGGTGTATCAAGGGTCAGTTCTTGTATCTGATGGGTCAGTCTGTTTCCCACGACGGGTTCAATAACCCAATCATGTATTTCAGCATTCACATCCGTACTGTAGTAAATGATGTACCCTATTCAAAAGAAAAAGCAAAGGAACTTCATACATAAAAGAACAGGATAGTCATAAGATCTCACAGAAAATGTTCTATTGACTTTTAATGAAATTTGCACAGCTAAATCATTATGGGTTTTCTGAAAGTGTATTCTTACTTTTTCAAAGACTAAAAATGCATTCATATACTAGACAGCCTTCCCATCTTAAATTTTAAACTGTTCAAAAGGATATGCTGAAAGAAAAAAGCCATTTCAAATATCAAAATTATTTTTGACTGCTGTTCATTGAATATGGAGAAATTCCTCATTTCCATCTCTTTACCTGTTTATAGACCAAATAATGTAAAATAACATAAAGCTGTTATTATCAAAACATCCTCAAAGTATTAATATTTATAGAAAACTTAACCTTAAAACAACAAAACATTCTCATGCACAGCTAAAGAACATGTGTTCAGTAGTTTATAATTATTTTATTTTTCAGTTTATTAACAAAGACGACAATAATCTGAAGAGAACTGAAGTTATCTTGCATGCCACACAAAAAAGGTATGGGAAATGTTTATGATCTGTTATTAAATATACTGCACATACAAACCAATAGGAAGTAAAAGCTTTATAACATTTGTTATATAAAAACCACAGAGCACCAGCATAAAAGAAATACCTGCACCAATATAGGGCTGCGTCATCAGATGCTTCATGCACAAATTGCTGCTTCCCTCGTCCCACAGAGCACTAATCTGGGGGTTACAGTAAGGAAGGGGGGACGTTCTCCAGTGTGACTTCCACTTCATTAAACCAACTGAAAATATTACTGATACCCCAAATTCACATAATTTGGAGGGTGACGCTTGAAACGCCAGTTGTAGGTCTGGCATGCTTTATTTCTTTCCTTGGTGGCATAGTTAACTACTGGGGAGTAGATTTAATAAATTGCTACTTGTACAGGTCACAAAGCAACATATCTGTAACTTGTCTAAGAAGGGACAACATATATATACACATAGTCACAATTAAAAGCACTATGTATAGTAGCGTGGCACAAGACTACTGGATTAACTTATGACTGTACTAATTAGTCAGCAACTATAATGACACACAAGCATCTGGAATCCAGACTAGCACAGTTCAGTATTGCACATCCATCCTATCCACATCAAAAGGAGATTAGAGCTGAAAAGACAAGTATTCCACAGACATGCTATCTGGTACATGGAATTACATCATCACTTAGTTTTTACAGCATTACTTAATGCACAGAATGAACTGAGATGAGTTAATAATTAGTCTGCTTCTCCTGCTGGCGGTGGCTCTTCCCACCAGAGGGCACTCAGCCCACACCTCCCTGAAAACTGCCTTGTTCCCCTGGCAAATTGCATCTAATGTTTGGTGGACTCAGGCTTACCACAGAATGATTTCTTTTATTTTTTAGCTGTTAACTGCTGGTTATGCAAAAACCTAATAAATACTATCTGTTTTCATTCAACACGTATGAATAAATGTAAGGTTCTCCTCCACAGTATAGACATTGCAAGATTTTTTTACCTGGAAAATTGAATGTGTATGATTAATTTTGCTAATCACATTGTGCAAGTAAATGCTGATCTCTCTGTACATTGTCTTCCCTTTCTCATGTATACACTTGATGTAAGATGATAGGATTATCTTTTTAAGAGCATACACAACCTGGGGATATTTGTGCCTTACGTTTCACACCTGACTGAATGACCCTCACTGACCACTAGCAACCAAGTCCTTTAACCTGCAGTTAAGATAAAAGCTCATTTCTCCAGTCAAACCTTCCTTCTCATATAGAGGAAGCATCTTGTTGATAATAATGCAGAATTGGCTTTATAGCCAATATAAAAATATACATACACAACACATAAACAGCTATATATGCATGCAGAGACATGCAAACGGCTCAGGCATTCTGGTGCAGAGTAAGTTGCTGTCTGTTAGTGTTGCATCCTTATAGCTCTACTTGTGAGACACACATGGCACTCGATGATACAGAAGAGCAGTGCACTGGTGTGTTGCACAACCCCTCCAGCCCTATTTTTTTTAGCACTGACACCAGAAAGACAGTGTACCTGTCAGAGCCACACTGCCTTACCTGCAGCCTTTGTGCTGCATGCATAGTGCCACTTTGCCTTTTAGGGGTCTTTCTTACAGCTTGCTTAAAAGTTTGTTGTAATTACTGAAGTTTAAGAGTCTCCAGTGTTCTGCCTTTTCAGAGGGATCAAATTAGTTTCAGTCTCCTGTCTAGCACCTGGGCTACAGTACTGCCCGATCAGATGCCAGCTGGTGACAGGTTTCAAAGGCTTGATTCTGCACCATAGTTAATTCTCAGAACAAAAGCAAATCATACACTGCAAACTACATGCCAATAAAACCTGATTTAAGCCTAAAGCCTGGAGGTAAAAAAGGAAAATTGAAGTGAATTCTATCAAAAAGTCTTTATAAATGTGAATCTGAACAGAAATTACAGACAAGAAACAGTAATTACTGTTTTCTGTAAAATGATTTATCCTACGCAAAAGTGATGCAGTTAGAAAGGCAAACAACAGTTTACTCCTAATGATTATGTCAGGGGACTAATAAACTGCCTTTAAGTCTGTTCTGTGCCACAGAAATGAAACAAAGATGACAAAGAGCACTGGGATAGATTCTTCTAAATAAAATACTGATGGGCCAGAGGCATTATAGATACATTTCTGGAGGCATGCTATTAGAATAGCACAAGCTGATGAAGGCAAAGGTTATTGAGATATTTAAACGTTCAATTATATTTCTGGTTTGACTCCAATTTCACACTGCAGTTAGTTTATATCTTAATATATTTTTACTAGGTACAAAAGTAAATAATTAATCTGAGCTACTAGAAAGATTGACAAAGAAGATATAGACCTCTTGGCTACCTCTAGGCTAAATGAAGTATGGAACATGTTCACATAGTTATGCAGATTATATTCTGCTGTTAATCAGGCATCTTTTATCTGCCTTTATTGCTCATGCAAACTGCACCTGTAATTTTGCCATTGGCTTCAGATGGAGGCTGCCAGTTAACAATTATTGTCCGAGGTTTTCCCTCTTTGCTCACCACAGTCACGTCTTTGGGAGGAGAAGTAGGAACTGCAAACAAACAAAAACCAAACTATCAGAAACAGGTTGCCCAATTTCACTGGATATAAACAAGTAACCTCAGTATCTTCGCTTTTTATTTGTTTTACCATTGAAAAAAGACAGGTACAATAATAAAAACTCTGAATGTTCAATCTTCAAATAAATCTACCATCTAGTGTAGTGGTCTTACCGATTTACTCCATTCAACTGGCAAATGCCATCTGGTGTGCAGCATCTCTTTTCTGTAAGGAGTTACCTGTTTCTAAAACACTTCTGTCAACAGATGTTGTGATTCATGACTGAATGAGTCCGTTTGTCTTCAAAAACATGGCATCTTTGTACAACCCTAGCAGTTGGGGTCAACAACTTCTAACCTGAATTTTGTTGGTCATCATAAAAATTACATGAACTTGTGAAATAAATACATTTTATATGCACAGGCATACGAAGTATCTCCTTATTTTCAGGTTTATGGTGGGACCAAGACCTAGTAACGCCAATTTGGCACTTAAAACAGAATCAGCAAAGTAAATCCACCAGAGATTTAGAATCATAATCCATAATTGCTGATTTAATTTACTGAAGAATTATTTGTAATTTACAAGGAAATCTGCACCACAGAAGCATTTGAAATCCAGAAATATTTGCTGAACACAATTGTCCAACCTTTTTCCTTGGGTTGCCAGAGAGCAACATTGAGAGAAAGAAAGAAAGAAAGGAGGGAGCACTTCCTTCTCCCATCAGCCTCCTCCTGCCTAAAGTTCAGGAAATGGCACAAGTTGCTCCAGCGAAAGACTGAAATCTGAGACCTTTCTCGCTGTGAACTAAAATACCCAGCTTGGTCTTAGATTAATGGCTTTCAAATGCACAGAGCCAACGTCTCCAAAGGTGCATTAACCAGCCACAGTTTGCAATGCCACATTATGAAAAACATGAGACTTCTAATTAGGTAACTTCTAGCAAAGTAAATCCGCCTTGGATATTTAATGCTATAATAGTAACATTTAGTGCTTACACAGTGCTTTCTGCATTTGAAGAGCGTTATGTATATTACTTAGTAGAAATTAATCTGTCTATCCTCTGAGATGGCTACCTATTATCCCTGTGCAGAATAATAGTTGGAAACCAGGAATAGCAAAAGCTCAAAAGTTACTGTAGCTATTACCCCAAATACTTAAAAACATGCTCAGCAAATGTTCAGACGTAAAGCATGATTCAAGGCCCTATAGTAAGCTTCAGAAAAAAAAAAAAAAAAATCAGGACTATCCCTCAAGAGATTACTAATTCACAGATGAACACCGAACCCAGTATCCCGTATTTTTCTTCAGCATTAGCTGAGGAGCAAGTCCTATACAACACTGCTACTCATGAGTATTCAAAAATAGTGAGTCAGACACTCAGGAATTTGGCAACTAATATAAATCACAAGATCTGTTATGAGAAAATATATTTAACTTTTTTTGGTTTTTCATTTGCTGCTTAGTTCCCAAGCTTTTAGGTCATATTTGCAAATGTTCTTTACAACCACACCGACTAGAAATTTACTTTCTATTTAAATGAAATGAGACTTCCTGTATCTCGCCCTTGCTCCTGTACTTTTTTGAGTTTCAAATTCTCTTTTAAGAATTTTATTTGTGCTGCTTTTACAGTGCGTGCTCTTAGCATAGAGTTATGGATGAGAATTGTATGTGTGTCAGCAAAAATACCAAATAAAGTGTTTTAACATGGGATGGGCATAGCAATCAGGATGGGAAAGGAGCCTCGGTCCAGACTTGTGTTGTCAGAAGGGCAGCTGACTCCACATCATGGGATTCTCACCAAAAACTAAAGCAACTGAAGCTCACGAAGGGTTTATGGGACTTCAGAGTAAGTGAGGAGTTTTCTGATTTTGCTTTTTCTTATGTCTTGTTATAGAATATTTGGATGATCTCACCAATTCTTTGCCTACTTGATTTTTTTTTTGTTGTATTTTAATTTACCATGAGAACTACAGGGTAATTTGGATAGGCTCTCTTTTGTCCTTCCAGTTCAAACAGACAGAAACCTAAGCATAATAAGCAGTAAATTTAATTGCACAAACATCATTTAACACTGCAGGATAAAAAGAGCTAATGAGGGACAGGCCCTGGACCTCGCAGTTACTCCGTGGGCCCAAGTTCCACCCAGTAGCTACAAACCCTCTTCTGTTCTGTACTTTGAGAGTGCGTCATTTCAACAGCACTTGCTGAAGACCAAAAATGTAGGTCTGATTTGGATGTCTTAATTTCTACTGGGATTTTTTTTTTTTATTCATTTGCCTCACGCACTTCCTCACTCTGTAATAATTATCATCATAATTATAGCAAATTTTAATTATTATTTGCTGAAGTATTTTCTTTGTGTTTGCTATTAACTTGCTATTTCTGAGATGTTTCAAACGTATGCTTTATTCTCTCCTGTCCATGAACTGTGGTACATTATTCAGTACTTCTCTGTAATTTGATGTAAATTCTTTTGCATGCAATCATCCCTTTGAATTTGGAAGTATGTTGTTGTTTTTTAATCAGAATTTCTGACTCAACTATAAAGAAAAGAAGCCCCCAGCAAGTATTCATCAGCATAATCATTTTAAATACGTGCTTTCCCTCCTCCAGAATTCTGGCAGATTCGACTTTATTCATCTCGTCAGGAACGTTGGCCCTTCCAGAAAGACACAAAGGAATACCTAATTCAAAAGTTGTTCCATGTGCTGTCATACTCCAAGTACTTGATCTTCGACCTTTAGTCACCATCACAGAGAATTCATACAAGGTATTTGGTTTTAACCCGGTCACTAAATAGCTCAAAGTGGTTGCATTTGCAGTCTGAAAGAAAAACAAAGCGTCAGTAACTTCTGAACTGAAAACCATCAATCACCAGCTCTCCAATGCCCTTGTCTCAGGTAACTGTTTAAAACATTTTAGCATTGCTACATTTTCATAAGCACAGTCATTAATTCTGTAACATATTTTCTCTGTCATGCAAATTTATTAATCAAGTATTAATGCGCAGTTGTTTTATCCTAAACTAGAAATTCCTTCTGCAATCAGCAAGAGCATTTAATAGCAGTCAATTATAAATTATAAAAAATATAAAAAGCAATACAAGGTCCAGGGCACACTTGTTATGCAGCAGGCCATACCACTGTCTACTTGGGGGGGTTTAATTTACAGCATTTCATTAACTGATCTGGCTAGGGAAAACAATGAAGCATAGCTAACAATAACAGTCCTTCCTGAAATCTGTATCTCCCTTCCAAATTCCTGTTAGAATTTTCAGTATATTTTTAACAACCTTTAAAAAAATTAACTGAAAGTGCAAGTACTGAGAGACTTGAAGACAATGAAGCTTTATTCATATGTTGACTTTTTCAGAGAAAATGGTTATCTAGGATCACACAATGAAACTACACATGATTTATATTGTAATTGGTAACTCAGCCATTTAGGCAGACTTTTCAACCTTCAAGTGAAACTATCTGGTATTTGTTATACATGACTTGAACATAAACACAAAGCACTTGAGGCTTATGGAAACAAAAAAAAAAAATCTACATATATGTATATTCCTTACCTTGACCTACAGTGATCTAAACATAGAGAGTTAGTTGTTTCAGTATTTGACAGGGCCATTCAACAACTGTATTAATAACTAATACCTTCAGAAAACAACTGTTTTCAGCTAATGCTTTTTCAAGGAAAACGCCATCTACATTCCTTGAAGACTCTATGAATAATATAGTCCAAATTCTGCAAAGAAGCCCCCTATTTCTCAAATAGCAATGACAGCTTTTTTGTCACACCAGGTTCAGAAAACTGAAGCCAAGTGATACTTAGATTTGTACAAAGTATTTTCCTTGTTCACAGACATGCATTTTGCCAGTTAGACATCACAGAGCTGGACAGAGAATAAAGACATCATAAACCTAATTAAAATCAAGTCCTCCATTACCTTTAAACATTCACTCAATACAAAACTCAGTGTAGTTTCAAAGTAAATGTGATTGTGGCTGAATGGTTCAAATATTTAAGCATAGGGCAGGACAGTTCTTTCATTAGTTCAGTCACAAAGCTTGACTGAGCACAACCTCCCTAGTATGAACATGAAGCCATGTGTTCAGAAGAGCTTTTCATCAGCTCTCGAAGTGCCAAGCAGCATTGTCTCCCAGCTCTTTGCAGTGCAGCTCAGGGACATTAGGAAATAGCTGATGCTTCAGTAGAAACTGAGAAGACCTTTGGCCTGGACAATTATGTAATGGCATATCCAAAGGAGAAATCTTTTCCTAGCGTCTTGCATTATGAAAACCACACCATCTCTTCCTCTCCAGAATACCTGTGGAAATTCCTGACACCATTTAAGCATTTGATTCTGTTTATAGTACTTTTTAGCTCCTAGCTGCAGTCACATGTGGCAGCTGGAGTCCTTTTTACAGGTTAAAGTTGTGTTTTTCATCTATGGCTTTGAAAATCGTTATCTTTTAGTTTCACTGTGCATCAAATTGAATGTAAATGACACATGAAAGGCTAAACTGGAGCATTAGGCTTCTCTGCTTTCTTCATTTTTTAACACCACTTACTGTTTTTTAGATCACAAGATATCCCACAGTACGAAATTCTGCTCACCTACTAGAAACAAACTTCGTAAATACTACCCTGTAAAACTTATTTTCCTTTTATAAAGTCCTAAAAGATCTAAGATAAGATTTAATATTTTAGCTTAGGCTTGAGAGCACACTGATAAATCACAGGTAGCCTGCAAGTAGGACAACTCTGCTCCACCACCAAAGATCCTTTGAAAAATGCTCTCCGCTCCACATTTGTGAAACTACATGGTTCAAAGCACAGTGGAGTATTTTAGCTTCAGGAACTGTATCACATCTGTTCCTGTGTTTATATGTTCTAGAGTGACACAACTCCTATCCAAATGATTAGACCAAATGCTCTCAAACTTATGTCCTTTCAGGCAAATGCTTTTTACAGTGAGTAATTTTGAACTATATTCCATTATTACATATAATTTTTGGTCCACAATAAAGCTTCTTGACCACTGCCCACCAGCACTGAGAACGGTGGAAGTATTTCATTTACCACTGAGGGTGGGGTTTTTTTAAGCATTTAACTAATGAAACTGCAGCGTTATATAAATCACTCTAAAGACATCCTCTGCACATGACTCAGGAATGTGGGTTCATAAATAACTTGCCTTTAGAGGACAAACACACATATATACATCTATTCATTTCAATAAAAAAAAAATCTGGTTTGTAACAAGATTGCTCTGTAGGAGCATAAAGGGAGCTCCACTAGCTGGATATTTTAACAACCATTTCCTTTGAGTCTCATTTCAAATGCGAAATTTGCAGTCAGCATTTCAGAAGCTTCCAGCTAACTCTGAAAATTTAAAAAAAAAAAAAAAAAAATATCCAACCAACCAACTACAAACATCCAAACCCATAAACCGAACCCCAAATTTAGTCTCCAAATCAAAACAGTAGATGAAAATCAAGGAAGGCAGGGATATCATGAAGTTATTGTTCTATATTTTCCACCCACTCAGTTCCCAAAGGAAAGGTTTACTATCAGCTTTGTATGAACAGAAAAGGTTGTAAAAGGAAACTTAAAACCATCAGGGTAAATATTTTCCCTGCATGACTTGCCCCACAAATTCAGATTCTTTTGCTAGCTGGAGAGAAGCCATTAGTAAAATATACTGCATTATCATTAATGCATTATTGGCTCCTCTAAAGGTAAGCCCACATCTGTCATACAAAGCGATCGTGTAAGGGTGAAGTAGAAAGGATAAAACTGTCACCGTGTCCATGGTTCCACAGAAGAACGTAATTCTGAAAATGTTTGCCTGCCTTCCCCAAGCCAGCTCTTCCATTCACTCACACACAACATGCCGTCTCAATCTTTCACATACATATGCAAAAGATACCACAAAAACAATTACTTCCACTAAATCTAGAAGAATCTTTGAAGCGATGATTTAACTGCGCAGTACTGATGTGAACTCAGTCCCGGCATCTCAAATAAAACTGGGCACACCTCTATACTGTTTTCTAAGCGCTTGTCGTTAGTCTCAACTTTCACTTAACCCTGTCATGAAACTTCTCACTGAAATAATGCAGCTGTGTTAGTGTTGTTGAAACTCCAATACCTTGTACTTTGTATTTGCAGGAATATTGGTTTTCCAGCGAACTGTGTAGTAGCGAGCATCTGTGATCTTCTGGTTCTTTGGCAGAGAGTTGTCTGCCCAAGTGATCCGTATGGTGTCATGACTCAGAATGGATGCCTGAACTCCCACCGGTGGCATCATGGGAGATGGATCTGGCACTGGAGTGTATGGAGCATTAATAACAAACAAATCAACCTCGGAAGTGTCTAGGGAATTGATGGGTAAAAAGTAGTGTATTATAATTAAAAAGGGAGAAGGTGGCATTTTAATGTAAACAAAAACAAAAAAGGGGAAATGCAGGGTAGTACAATGAAATGAAAGGTGAGAAATGGAGAAAAAGAGAGAAAAGCCAGAGTTAATAGGTGACATAAGACTGGCTAATAAAATTACTCTTGCATAGTGTTCCCTTCTTAAGGCAATAAGACAACATATATATGCTAATATATATACACACCTAATCATATTAGTGTTTAGTGCATTCAACCATGGCCTAAGAACCCCAAACATACAGTAATTTTAACTTTGACTTTATTTGCCTCAGAATGTCCACTGATTCCTCTTCCAGAAAACAATGAGGAGGAAAAAGAGCTGGACTTCTAGATGGATAAATGCCACTTCATAAAAATTACAGGGAACACCTATCACCTTTTAAAGAACATTAATGGCAATCAAGTTCTAGGTATTATATAAATTTGCAATAACTGAAGAAACTGCCATTCCAAATCCTCTATAAAATCTGTAAGGATTCCTGCTCTTCAGAAGACTAAACAGAAGTGTTAACATCTACACAAAATAAATAAGTCAACAGTCCAGTAGGGAGCACAGTGAGCCATAGCATAGTAATCGCTCACTTGCAAAGAAATTTCTCTGCTTAAAATCTTTTATTAATGTATGACAAGATTAAAAAAAAAATGCCAAGAACTTGTTTAGTGTGACTGCAGATTGCGACTTAGACAAAGAAAACGCAGGCATCATATTCAAAATCTCAGTGTAAGACCAAAAAAAAAAAAAAAAATCTGTACTTGTCCATAAAAAACAAAATATGGGCCTTTAGAACTGCACCCACACAATTTGTAATGGTAACTTTTTGAATAAGAACATCTATAAGTAGTTGAAGGGTAAGTTTTGTAATTTAAAAATCAAACCAATTTTAGGTGGTTTATTAAACAGATGAAACATGCGAGGCAATCCCTGAACCAGTAAGGCCAATCAGTTAAAGAAACAGAGTGTACTTGATGACTCTGAAAAACACCACTCTTACATCATGCATCATCCCATTTTCAGCTGCTGTGCGGAGAGGCATGTTAACAACCTTCAGCTGTGCAGAACTTAAAAGCAGCCCCTCGCCTTTACCTGAGTGAGGCCTGGTCACTGCGCTCTCGTAGAGAGGGATTCCTTCACCAACGTTGTTAAATGCTTTCAGAGTTATGACATAGTGGGAGCTTGGGTCTAAAGGGGAAAAGAAATTAAATATATTTTTAGTGCAACCTGTTAGTGATTCCTATTTTCTGTTTCTCCATTTTCTCTTTGTTCACTATTTTATTTTTTAACAGAAATACATGAAATAACTAGACTAAATTTGAATTGAGAAAATCTCTGTACAGACCTTCTTTTAGTGTTCAATAGTTCTCATACAGTGGAAGTCTATAGTCACAACAAATCTACCTTAAGTCCAGTCAAAATAGTAGTGAGGAAAAACATTTTAAAATGAACATTTTAAGTTGCCCTACTATATAATATTATCCAAAACTCCAATTTTAGGGAATTTCCCAATAGGTCGCAATACTAGTATTTATTTTGCTTTCAGGATATCTTACCTACCACAGAGAGTTCTGTGGAGGAGCAATTCTGTATTTTTCTTTTAATGTAGATGCCACTGTATCTTGGTGACATTTTAAGTTTCTTTTTTGCCTGAAGCCACCTGTTCCGCAGCTCCAGAAGGAGAATAAGAGAATGCTGCTCAGAAGAAAGTTTTTGTAATAACCGTTAAAGGGAAAGCATCAAATCAAAATGCACTACGCTTCAAATTCAGATTCTGGGTTTGGGGTTTTTTTTATTCCTCTGCCTCTTTCTCTATCAGCAGAAAATTGAGTTTATTCATCAACAGTTTGGCATCTGGTATAATATCCAAGTAAGCAAAAAGATCCTCTTACAAACATGCTTGTAGTTTTATTTATTTATAATACCATAATTAGAAAACAGCAACATAAATGAGAGGTAAAACTTGGGCACTGATGTTAATTGACTTTCCTTACCTAAGTTTTCAATGGTGTAGTATCTCTGTTTATAGTCCACCTTGATGGTCTGCGCATGAGGACTGCCAATGCCATACCCTATAGCATAGCCTCTCACCACGATGTTCTGGTTTTCAGGTGGAGTCCAGCTTACTACAATACTGGTGACAAGCGGACGGACATGTAAGGAACTTGGAACTTCAGGAACACGAGTTTCTGTTAAAGAAAAATGATGGATTTAAAGGACTTCTCTTAAATAAAGGTAATTACATGAAGAGCTATGAGCTAGTAAGGTCAAATGTAGCACTGCTACTGTCTGTCTGTATTGAAATGAGTACGCTCTAAAGGAGAGAGGAGAGTGCAAAGAACTATAATAAGCAGAAGAAAATGAACATAGTTTTGTATACTAATATATTTTAATAGACCCTCTTTTTAAAAGAAAGGACAGTCGTACTGAAGAAAGGTATCACATCTGCTTCAAGGCAGATTTTTCTGATGTTTGCGCATGTTCTCTCCAATTTGTAATTTTTCAAAATACGCATTAAATTTATCACATCCTTCCCCTCCACAAAGCAATCTCCTTTTAGTTCCATCATATTACTTACTTGTGGGCATTAAAATAATTATATTGAAAACACACCAATGATTAAAGAAAGGTTCCTGAGCTCACTGTAGGATTAAACAGAATATTCCAAACCTCTAAGAATTGTCAGTAAACTGGATATTGCATGTGCTGCAAAGGTTTGTTGTGATTTGTCCTACACTTGTCACTGTTTAAATCCTTGAGTCTCTTTAACATAATTCACAAAATGTACGCAGAGACTACACAACCATACCACAAGATCAAAAAATACTCAGAGAGTTTCTATCAAGTGCTTGAATCCTACCCCCAACAAGCAACACAAATCTAGTCACAACCCAACAGAGACATGGAATGTGGATCCTTAGTAACACAATGACTTCCACAATACGCCACTGTAATCTCCTAATATTTTTACTAAAGGGATTTTTCTCCAATGTTGATTACAACTTAAAAGCAATCGAAAAGCTCAACTGTACATACTAATGTTCATACCTTTGTTTTAACTTCTTAAAAATTAAATAAGTACTTTTGTCAGGCCACTGGAGCCTGCTATATGTTGACAGATTATAAATAATTCTGTGCAATAGTAAGCTGAGTTCTCCACTCTAAAATAAAATCAGTTCAGAGAGTTCTGCTTCCTGCAGGGATTTCATTTTAATGAAACATGCTGCATTTATCTAAAAACATTTAATAAAGCACCACAACAGGATTATTTGGATCATAATACGCCACTGGCTTGCTAGCCCAGGGAGTTTATGGTCTCCAGCTGACACAGCCGATCAATTAAAGTTCACAACTATTAAATACAGAAAAGCTACAGAATTGCAATATAAGAGATGACATTTTTAACTGCACAGAAGTTAGTGCATTAGGGGTAAACTCTGCACAACTGTTTAACACCTCTTGCATATGCACTCCTGGTGGGACTTGCACCAGCTCTGCAAAATTACACAGCCCTACTAACACTAAGTTGTAACAAGTCTGGCTCCCATTCACATTGATGACACTATAAAGTGAATTGTTTTCCATTTAAATTCAAAAAGCAGCCAGGGAATAAAAAGGAATTATGCCTTACATCTCTATTGAACCTGGAAAATTAAAGATTAACTGTAAATACATTTGCATGGTATTAAAATTATCCACGAGCTTACTAAAGAAAAAAAAAGCAAAAAATATACATCTTATTTCCAGTATGCATATACACAAATATCTCATACATGTATACAGAATGATATGAATACCATGTTACATTGTCTTAACTGTGAACTGTTATTACTTTATTCTTTGTAAAGAATATGCATAAAGAAAGTTAGATTTCCTGAAAGACTGCAACATTCCAACTTGAAAAAAATTAAAATTAAAGAATCAACACAGAATGAAAAGGTTCTTTTCTTCTCCCTCCTTCTGCCCTATTTAAATTTAATCCTGATGCTATCCGCTGGCAAAGTATTGTTAACTCTAATTCAAGAGCGGAGTACATTTTCACTACATTGTGTAAGTGCTGCCCATTTACAGAGCTCTACTTCAGTCTGGGGAACTAGTGGTTTCTCAAAGCTGCAAGGCTGTGTCATATCCAGTTAGACAGACACACAGATGCAAGTCATTTCAACGCTAAAAAGTAAATTTTAAGTAACTACAAAACTGAACTCTACTGTTAACACTGGGTTTTGCGCTGCTCTTGATTAAGCAATGGAGTAAGAAGTAAGAGAACAAGTATGAAGTCAAGCGTCAACTTTGCATAACACAAAGACTGGGCTCTCAAGGGCTTTAATCAGCTGACTGCTGAAGCAATCTTCCAACAGTGCAGAGCAAATATTGAAGCTCTTTTATTATTCTGTCTTCCAGCTGCCAGTATAACTGAATCTCAGGCCACACAGATGTGAAAGACATTACGGGATCCTGTGGCATTAAGCTAGAATGACCCTCCAACTACTTCAACAAAGCCAAGAGGGAGACTGGCCTGCAAGAAGTGTAAGGTAACTTGTGTGCGACAGCACTAATTAAATGCCTTTTTGAAATAGGAACAGTCTATCCAGAATCACCAGCTCCATGTAGGCAGTTCCAAAGAGATCTGCCCCAGCCACCCTTTTAAAAATGGCACTTCTCTGCTTCAATTTCAATTGCTTTTAGTCAGATTCTGGGAGATACAAATTTGTTCATCTGAATTTTGCAAGAATCAGGCTCCCACTTGCAAATTATTCCAAACAAAACAACTGGTCCAGCTATCAAAGGCCAAAATTTTTCACAGAATATTTTCTGCTTTTATTGTTAAACTCTACACTGAAAAACCAAGATGTTAACATGGTTCTGTATACCACATATGATGAATATATAGCTTTGGTGGAAAATACTTCATTTCTGACGAAAGATATGGTCTATACTAGTCTATCAGTACTGAAAATATAATCACTCTCCCTTTTCTTCTGAAGTGGCAAAATAACAATTACTGAGGGTCAAATGTTCGCTTTAGAAAGAGTCTAAGCAAAAAAAAAAAATTCAGGAAAAATATTCTAAGAGAGCATGGTACCAATGAAACATAGTGGTAAGATTGCAAAGGTCTATGGGTGACAACAACATTTTCCACTGTTTCTTTCATACTGTGGCATCTCTCTCATGTTCAACAAGGTTTACAACTCCAAGTCTGCAACCACAGTGCAGGCACTAATACTACAAACTGCAGCCAACAGGACTACCTCTAGTCAATCAGTGCACGGTGTCTCCGAATATCCAGTCACCACTCTGAACTCTTTGAGGTATACTTCCATGGTTTCATTAGCATAACTGAGGCGCTACAGCAATACATAATCACTATTTTACTTCCCTCAAGGAAAACAGTCCTCCTACCTTTGTTTCACAACCCCTGCATAATTAACAAGGAGAGTTTTATTACAATATAAAAATCGAGCCATTAATATTATATAAATCTTATAATGTATTATTATTTAAATATTGAAGCACTGACATTGTAATTCATAACTGGGTATTTCTTAGCAGAAAAAAACATAATGCCAACATACAGTACTAGAAAGTGTAGAAGCAAGGTTTAATTTCAAGCCATTTAATTGACTTGGGAAGAATTTTGTGTTAAAATAGAAATTAATTTCACTTAATCATAAAGCACATTGCATAATTAGAATACAGTAAGAACAACTGAACAGAATTCAGGTTTGCCTTTAAAAAAGGCAATCAAACTTTACTGTGCCCTGTCCATGAATTCTAATGTTTTTGATGTCACAAATATGTTCAGACTTATGATCTTACCATCTAGATCACTCTCAAATGTTTCTGCTGATATCCAGTCGGTAGCTGGTCCAGTACCATTAACAGTCAAGGCAGCAACTCGGAAGCTGTATTCTGTACCTCGTTCAAGACCTAAGAGAGAAAGAGTATCCAAGATACCAACATAGGAATTCCAGCTGTGAGCACAGGAATCACAGTTCCTAATTAAAATACAGGTATAACCTGACGGTAAAAAGCCTTTCACCCCACCATTGCCACTGGAGCGTAACATGAGGTCAGGAATGGAGAAGCGCTACCCACAGTGCAGCTCTGGTAAGGAAGCTGACACCAATTAGCGTGTAACAGCTAAACTGTGACCGGAGACACCCAGGCCTGTGACACTCTGCTGACTGTCCCTGTGGGCCACTGGAAGAGTCTGTGAGGTACTATTTGCAGCCAGCTTTAACTTCTGGCTATTAATTAGTTTGAAGTACAGAACCACCCACATCCATAACTAAACCTAGGTGTAGAGTGTAGACAGCAAGTGACCAAACTCTGCAAACAGTTTATTTACTGTATATAAGAGTGTATAATCAATAATCAAAGCAGTATGAAAATGCACCCAAAATTTGATATGTTCTTAAACAGGCTTTGTTGCTGACAAAAATATACTCTAGTTACAGGCACATATCAACTCCTACTCTGTGAGAAAACTGAAACTTACTGAGTCACAGCTGGAGTTTCTGAGAACAAATCAAAACATCTTGTTAAAAAGTGCAATTCATTTTCTAGAGAGTCACAATTTCTTCTCTTTTGACCAACTGTTCATTTACAGAGATTTAAAACAAATGAACAAAATGTAGTCTTGCTCCTGTCTCATATACTGTTTATTTCTGCTAAACAAAATTCTAGTTCTGGTAACAATATATAATTTATACTACGTAATGTACTAGATTGGATTTTTAAGCGTACAAAATAAAGGAAGGATATATTACATTCATGCCAGAAAGAAGGGAAAAGGTTGACGTCAGTGAAACTAGGTGGGATGATTTGCACAGATGCCTGAGGTAAGAAGTTCCTAGGACTCTGAGCTGGGCTTGTTGGTGAGCATTGCAACAAGACACATGTGACAGAGCACACCTACATTATATCCCCATGCAAACTGGGGAGTCTGCCAAACACCCAGCCAGACTGCAGTTCGTTGGCATCCTTCTCCATACATTATTTCTGGCATGTGGACAAACAGTGAGCTCAGGACCATCTTCTCCATGCAACCTCTGTGCCTTTTATAAAGGTTTTAAAATGACCCATCCAGTCCACTTAGCAAATCAATGGCAAAATTAGGGCGAGAAAACAGGCCTCTAGACTTTGGTTACTACTAGCCAGCCCACACTACCTCATAACCTACAAACACTCATTTTAAGTGTTTTCATTTTCTCTTCCAAGGCAAGAACCCTACATAAACATGTCTCTGAACCTCAGCCCACTAAAAGCACCTAAAAAACCCCTTCCCTTTCTGATAACAAATGCTCACAAATAATAGCTCACCTTCAATTAGCTGAAAAAGCTGGGTCCCACCAATGCTCTCTGTTACATCACTCTTGCGGGACACTTTACGGTAGCGAATTTTGTAGCCAGTGATTTGTCCGCTGTGTGTCCCCGCAGGAGGTGGCTGCCAGTGTAGCATGATGCTCTGTGGAAGGCAGAAGGTCATTACAAAGTCCTCGCCTCCCACACAGCCAGAGAAACTACTCTAGTGCTAATATTTCATGAAACACAAAATAAAAAACATGCATACAGAAAATACTGCATTTTCATATAGTAAAACACAGGCTATCTGTAAAAAGTAAAAAACCTATGATTCAGCAGCAGCCCAGGTCATACATGTGCCTACAGAAGTTCACCTCAAAGTGCTTCAATCCTATTAGTGCTTCTGATTCCAATTGCACAAATGGCCCCTTGGGTTTCCCTTTCGTTTTCGTCAGGTTATCTTAAGATATGGTTTACTTGAGGATCTATCTTTAAGGACTGGTATTTTCTCCAAAGGGTACAAGTTATCTGAACTGTAGTTTACGTGCAGGAAGTTATTTATTTTTAATCATACAGGCAGTAGAAAAAGCTACTTGGAAAAGAGTTTAGAAATGGCTTTTTTAAAAAGATCTCCAATCACAATCACTAAAGTCATAATGACTAAGTATACAATTTTCTCTTTTAAACTGCCCAGGACACTATAAACGTGCATGTGTATGCAAACACACTGTAAACAATAGTTAATGAACAGGAAGGTATTTGCATCTGATTAAACCTCTTTCATAATTAGCCTCCATGTTTTGGTACATTGCCACCATCTTCACTGCGTTCCGTTACGTACAATCCACAACTGGATTGAAGTTTCTAGTGCTTCAAGCCCCACATTCAGATATTCTCCTGTTGGGCAACTCATACACAAATAGCTGAAAAGCAGTGTGGTAGAAAAGAAATCCAAAGCAGCTCTAAATTGTGGTCCATCTAAGACCCACCAACCTTTTGTTTACCCTCTACCAACAGGAAATTCTCCACATCTTACCTTGGAATTCCGTACCTCCAGTGTCAGATTCTGTGGTGGAGCACTGGGGACTAGAAACATTAAAGGAATTACAACTCCAGAATTTCCATATACTGTATTTCTATACACAACTACTTTCTGCTATCATTCATTATGAAAATACAAACCATTCTGGTTAGAGACACTATATAAAGTAACTACAAAATTCTACCAGAGGTACTTTATGACATACAGTGACGAGCTAAGGGGGTTTACCTATTTTCAACACAAAGAACGAACTCACTTTTTATTCAGGTCTTTACTTATCACAGGTATCTAGATAAAAAATGCTTTATATTCAAAGGTACTTCCCATAAACTCTTTTCTTAGAGATGACATTCAGTACTTTCCAAAATCAAATCTTTAATTTACATGCTGGATTCTGGGAACCCACATTTAAAATTCTAGCCATGGTTTTTGTTATCATGATTTTCTGTAACAGAAAAACCTCAGAGTCAACATGTCCCTGTGTTACTGAGGAGGTGAAGTACATTGCAAAGATGGTTTCTGCTTTTAAACCTCCATTCTTTGTTACTTCTTTACTAGCTGTAGCAACTGGCTGGTCATGACAGTGAAAGTCCATTAGACAAAAAGGCAATGTAAGAGAGAACCCGAGACCAAGGAAATCCTTGTCACAGCACTTCAGACTCACAAAGGTTCCCTGGCAGGAAGGTGAGGCTCCAGCAAAGCATAAGGACAGGGAAGTAGCACAACAGGGCTAAAGATTGTTCCAGCCTGAATAATGTACTTTCCAAATAACCAGCCACAACAATACCTAAGGAAACTCCTGAGTGCATAAAGTGAAAGTGGCCCTGCAGTAAAGTGAAAGGTATGCTGGGGTGTGCTTAAATAAATACGCCTCTCCCACTATCCCACAACAGAAATGGAGACGATGAGGATGTGCTTTTCCTTCTCTCTTGCCAACTGAACTGAGTCTGAAATCACCAGACGGAAGGATTAAGTGCTATGTCCCTCAAAAAGCAAGAACACAGGTTACAAGGAGGAAATTAAATAAAGCTAAGCTTTCCACCCCGCCCTGGCCCCGTTTGTTTTACACAGTTGGTGCCTACTTTCAGAACAACGTAAAAATAAGTCATGGGTTTCACAAGGAGTGATTAATAATTAATGCATATATTGAAAACTTGGCGAAAGACCATCAGTAGGACACAGGAAAGGATACATGCATGTAAATATATTCATATACACGTATCTCGCCATGTGCACAGTTCATTTTATGTCAAAGTAAGCTTAGACACAAATCAGATTAAGAACTTAACCAGGCCAAGAAATAAAATTGATTTCTTGTAGGCTGATATTCCATGCTTCAATAGGAAAAGCATAGCCTAGTTTGCTACATTGTATAGTAACCATCCAGGCAGGAGGACCACGACATGCTGACGGTTCGGAGAGACTGCAAGGACGAGTTGGTAAGGGAAATGCCCTCAATCAGGGTGTGATACAGAGATTACATTTCTAGTTGTGATACATGATTGCTTCCTATAGATCAGGAAGACCATGAGAAGAGAAGCAATCCTTATGAGCAGCACATAAACCTTGGTTCAAATCGTAGTACTTGAAGAGCTATCCTGCAACAAACCACCATAACATACTTAGATCAGGAGCAAACACCTACATAAAACTGCGGAAGTTTGTTAAATGGAAGCTCAAGGAAGCTCAGAATGAAATCCCTGCAGAAAACAATGGTTATTGCTTACAGACGCAACAATAAGAAAACACAAGAAGAAAATGTGCATCTTCCATCCGGAAAGATTTGAGAGATTGAAGGGGAGAACAGCACAGTTAAGCAGCAGGGTTATAAGATTCTAAGCAGCAAGACAACATCCTTCAGAAAGCTGTAGAAAATAAATTTCAATAGGTTAAATGTCTAAATGTAAGTTGGGCCAGAAAGAACTTCAAGAAAACTTGAAAATGAAATTACAACTAATAATAAATTCTTCTTCAAACAAATAAGGAACTGGAAGCCCTTTAGAGAAACTGTAGAGTTAGCAGATGGTCAGGGTATGACAGAAAGAGAAAAACATAAGGCCACACAACTAACTTCTTTGCATTCGTACTGAGTGGAAGGAAGAGGAGGTTTCCATGACACCCTGTACAAGAGACTTAAAGGATCTCTCAAACTGAAATGTCAATATAAAGGATTATGGAGGAGTCAGACATAACGAACAGCAGCATGTTGCCAGAGTTAGATGCTAGTCATCCAGGATTTCTCAAGGAATTTGGGAACAAAATGGTTGCATGACTTACAGTAGGCTGGAACCTCTCACAAGCTACCTCAATACCGGGAGATGGGAAATTTGATGACAGTATTTAAAAGGGGTTCTGTTTGAGAAACTATCAAGTAATAAGTCAGCAACCTGCATTAGGCAAATAAACTGAAGCTAAAATAAAGCATGAAATTCATAGATACACAGAGGAATAATATATATGCATTTTTCACTTTTTAAAGGGAAATCCTGCGTCACAAACCTGCTGGAGAGCTCTTAAGAAATGAAGCAATGAGGGGCAGCCCTTGCCTGAGTAAACAACTGGTTAAGAGAAAGGAAAGAGAAGTTAGGAACATACGTGGTGGGAGATGACCTGTGGAGCTCCACCGTGGTATGTGCTGAGACCCCTGTTGCTCAACACATTCGTAAGTGATGAAAGGGGGATGAGCAGCAAGGTGACAAGCATTAGTACAGACAAGATCTGATGGTAAAGGACTGCAGAAAGACCTCAGGACATTTCATGCCTGGATGTTAGGATGACAGATGAAATTCATGGTAGATGAAGTTACACACATGGAAAATATGATCCTGCCTCTACATGCAAAATGATGGCTCTAAGCAGACCAATTCCACCAAGATTAGTCTGCCCCAAAAATGTCACCTCAGTGCTCAGAATGAGCCAAAAAAGTCAGTCAAATGCTAGCAATTACACACTTGCATCTCTGATACAATTTTGGCCCCCTCTACCTCCATATTTAAAAGTACGTAGGAGAAAAGAAACCTAGAAAAAAAGTTCAGAAAAGGGCACTGAAGGTTGAAACAGCTTCCACAAAAGCAATGGCTAACCATTTCTGTGACTTTTGAATCTGGAAAAGAGACAAATGAGGGAGAATACAGCAAAGGTCTGTAAAATGAAGAGTGGGACAGAGAGGGCTGGTGGACACTCATTATTCACTCTTTCAGGCACTACAGCTACAGGTAACAAATGATGCTAACATACAGCAGGTTCAAAACAGACAACATGGGGTGATTTTTCACAGAAAATTTATTTGTAGAATCTTTTTCCTCTTGATGTTGTGGATGATAAAAGCTGACATGGGTTAAAGAGGATGCTGACAGAGTTTCATGGAAGAGAAAATGAATTAATAAATACACAGAAACCACAGCAGAGTCAAGAAGTCCCACAGAAACAAACTTTTGGACACACAGAGAATTTGGGACAATAGTCCTCTCTGCTCATCTATTCTGCTTTCGCTCACTCCTGGATAGAGGTTTCCAGGCTAGGCTCACTTCTGGTCTGACTGTTCTTATAAATAAATAAACTTCTCTATAAAAAATAAAAGATAATGTTAACTCTGATCATTCTACAATTGTTCATATATCTGTATTCGCTCACACTGCCTCTTTATTTGCCTTATAGAAAATACCGTTACCGCTTCCTGCTTTCAATATTATATGCAATTGATTTAATAGTGTCTGTGCTGGAGTCTAAACAAAGGCATGCAGCATTTTCCCATATGACCACAATTAAAATGAAAACACTACAAAAGCAAAAGTCTGCTCATATATAAAAATACTATAGAAGCTAAAAAATAATTTGGAGTTGTTGCCTTCAATATAACTGTGTTTCTGTCCACTCTTAATACTTTGTAGGCTCAATAACCCATGAAATAAACTACTGATGTTGAAATGAAGGACACCATTGCTGCGTAATCAGAATCAGGTATAGTAATTTTCCTTCACCTAATCTGGAAACCCTCTGGGGAATTTTCAGCACGCATGGCCATACACAACTACTACATTATTAATAAAATAGGGCAACAATGAACAAAACCCACAGAAGTCTTTCTTTTTAAGTTAATTTTTAACTTAAAGGAAATTGCCACATAATTCCTGAAAAAAAAAAAAAAAAATTGGAATAAAGCAGCTTACCATCGGACAGCGTTCGTACAACAACATCTTGGGTCGAGACTCCAGGACCATGTTTATTGTAGGCTACCACACGGAAACTATACTCTGTGTATTTCTTTAATCCATTAATGGTGTAGGAGAGTCCTCCTACATCAACATCCTGTTCATAAACAAACATACATACATACAAGTCAAGGTCAGAATCAGGTCTGCAACTGTTACAAATGTCTTAGACTTCCAGTACAGTAATAAAG